TAAAAATCCTCACTTGAGGGAAGATATGTTTTTATTGATTTTTAGAGAGAGGGGAAGAGAGAGAAATATTGATCCATGGCTTCCTGTACGTGTCTCGACTGGGGATTGAACAACCAACCTATGTATGTGCCCTGACCAGAATTCGAACCTGCAGCCTCTGGTATACCAGAAGACACTCCGACCAACTGAGCCACACTGGCCACAGCTACACACAAAATTTTGGTGGAAAATTGATTAAAGGCTACTTCAGTGGTCAGGAAGAATTTATATATATATATAAAATGTTTTTATTTAAATTTCAAAGAAGGGAAGGGAGATAGAAACATCAATGATGAGAGAGAATCATCAAACAGCTGCCTCCTGCATGCCCCACATTTGGGATAGAGCCCATAACCTGGGTATGTGCCCTGACCAGGAATCAAACTCTGACCTCCTGGTTCGTAGGTTGACACTCAACTACTGAGCCACACCGGCCGGGCTAGAATTGATAAATTTTAAAGACTGTGAGTTCATATTGCTATTTACAGTTTAGCTCTAACAATACTCCTTAACAGGTGTCCTTAGTAACTACACCTGACCTGGCCTACCACTTGTTATTTTACCCTTTTAATTATATTTTTACTGACTTCAGAGAGGAAGGGAGAGGGAGAGAGAGAGAAACATCAATGATGAGAGAGAATCATTGATCAGCTGCCTCCTGCACTCCCCTTCCTGGGGATCAAGCCTGCAACCTGGGCATGTGCCCTGAGGAGAATCAAACAGTGACCTCCTGGTTCATAGGTCGATGCTCAACCACTGAACCATACCAGCTGGGCACCGTTATTTTAAATAAAGTTTTATTGTCACACAGCCATGCCCATTCATTTGCTTGCTGTCTACCTGCTTTCTGGCTTCCTGAAAAAAACATGAGTAGTTGCCTCAGAGACCACATGGCATGCAAAGCCAAAAATATTTACTCTGTGGCCCTTTGCAGAAAATATTTGCAGGCCCCTGCTCTAGAAATGATTTTACTGTTTTCTCTCATCATTTGGTGAATCATAGAAGTTTTTAAAGATCCTGATTATAAGTTGTGTAATTTCTTTTTTTTTAAAGGGGAGAATGATGATTTTTATTTTTTTAAATGTATTTTATTGATTTTTTTACAGAGAGGAAGAGAGAGGGATAGAGAGTTAGAAACATCGATGAGAGAGAACCATCGATCAGCTGCCTCCTGCACACTCCCTACTGGGGATGTGCCCGCAACCAAGGTACATGCCCTTGACCGGAATCGAACCTGGGACCCTTGAGTCCGCAGACTGACGCTCTATCCACTGAGCCAAACCGGTTAGGGCAAGTTGTGTAATTTCTTTTGATTTATTGACTTTTAGAGAGAGAGAGAGGGAGAGATTTGTTGTTCTACTTATTTATGCACCCATTGGTTGATTCTTTTTTTTTTTTAATCCTCACTGGAGGACATGTTTATGTTTTTATTGGTTTTAGAGAGGGAGGGAAGGAGAGGGAGAGAGAGAGAGAAACATTGATGTGAGAGGGAAACATTGATCAGTTGCCTCCCAGGGAGGCACTCACAACCTGGGTATGTGACCTGACCAGGAATCAAACCTGTGACCTTTCAGTGTAAGGAGCAATGCTCCAATCAACTGAGCCACACTGGCGAGGGCCATTGGTTGGTTCTTGCATGTGCCCTGACTGGGATCAAACCTGCAACCTTGGCATTTCAGAGACAACACTCTAATCAACTGAGCTACCCGGCCAGGGCCAACTTGTGTAATTTCTTATTCATTTTATCTGTCAACATAACATTTAAGTTCAGATCATAATAGTAATATTAATAGTATTAAAATAACTTCTGGTTGAAAATTAAGATCTAAGCTCACAGCAGCTATCATGGCATGAATGACTGGCCAGCTGATCAGTCCAGGGACTGGGCGTGTGACCAGTGCTGGTCAGTGAGAGGAGAGGACAAGTCTGCATGGTGGGGGCTCCAGGGGAAGTTTCTGCAGACTAACGCCCAGAATGGCAGAATAGGGAAGCGGAAAGAATAGGGTCTGAGGTGACATTGCTCAGCTGTCCTGACGTCCTGAGCCTGGAGCTGCCCTCGCTTGGGGCTGTTTGTTCTCTGAGCTAATAAACCTCTTTATGAAGTTAAGCAAGTAGAGTCAGTTTTCTGTTCCTTGTGGCTAAAAGCATGTAACTGATTCAGCTGGTCCTGCTGGCCCCTTTGAACACCTCTTTTTTTAAAATATATTTTTATTGATTTCAGAGAGAAAGGGAAAGTGGGGAGAGAGAGGGAGAGAGAGAGAGAGAGAGAGAGACATCAATGATGGTAGAGAATCATTGATCAGCTGCCTCCTGCATGCCCCCCAATGGGGACCGAGCCCGCAACCCCGGCACATGCCCTTGACCAGAATCAAACCCAGGACTCTTCAGTCCGCAGGCCGACGCTCTATCCATTGAGCCAAACCAGCCAGGGCTGAACACCTCTTTCTAATGACAGAGAGGGATGTAACTTTGTCCTTGCCTCCCTTATAATAATCCTTGCTGCTATGTGATTATGTCTATATGAGTAAGCAGCTGCCTGGTGAGTCGTTCCAATTATCTGTGAGCACATACAAAGATTTAGAGCAGCAGTTCTCAACCTGTGGGTCGCGACCCCTTTGGCGGCCGAACGACCCTTTCACAGGGGTTGCCTAAGACCATCCTGCATATCAGATATTTACATTACGATTCATAACAGTAGCAACACTACAGTTATGAAGTAGCAACGGAAATAATTTTATGGTTGGGTCACAACATGAGGAACTGTATTTAAAGGGCCAGACGGTTGAGAGCCACTGATTAGAGGCTTCACTCCGTGAAGAGGCAGGAATTGGCTGGGAAGGGAGGGGATGTGTATTAGTTTCCTAGGGCAGCGGTAACACATTTTCACAAATGTAGTGGCTTAAAACAATACATTTATTATTGCACCGTTCTGGAGGTCAGGAATCTGAAATGAGTCTCACTGGGCTAAATTCCAGGCACGGGCAAGCTGGTTCCTTCTGAAGGCTCCAGAGAGAATCATTTCCTGCTTTTTCTGGCTTCTAGAGGCGGCTGCATTCCTGGAGCCCTGGAAATCATCTCCTCTGACTCCGACCCTCCTGCTTCTCTCTTATACGAAAACTTTTTTTAAAGATATAAATTTTTATTGATTTCAGAAAGAAAGGGAGAGGGAGAGAGAGATAGAAACTAATGAGAGAGAATCATTGATCGGCTGCCTCCTGCACGCCCCCTACTGGGGATCAAGCCCCCAACCCGGGCATGTGCCCTTGACGGGAATCGAACCTGGGACCCTTCATTCCGCAGGCTGACACTCTATCCACTGAGCCAAACCAGCTAGGGCATTATAGGGACACTTGTGATGACACTGGGCCCCCTGAGCAATGGAGGACAATTTCCCCATCTCAAGATCATTAACTTCATTCCATATGTAAAGTCCCTTTTGTCATGGCAGGTGACATTTTTATAGCTTCTGGGGTTGGATGTGGACATCTTTGTGGGGAGGGGGGAATTATTTTGCTGACCACAGAGTGAATGGACTATCATTTTTATGATTCTATCGGATGGCTGGGCATGTTCTGTGTTGATCTCACCTACAGTAACTAATGAGAACACAGACACCTGGAGGATTGGGAGGGCTGGGCTGGAAGGTGCAAGATGGCTTCATTGGCTAGTTCTCCACGCACTAGCCCAGCCTTCAAGAAGCTACACTGGTGCCTGGCAGGTGTGGCTCAGTGGTTGAGTATCAACCTATGAACCAGGAAGTCACAGTTCAATTCCTGGTCAGGGCACCTGCCTGGGTTCTGGGCTCCATCCCCACTAGGGGGCGTGCAGGAGGCAGCTGAACAATTTCTCATCATTGATGTTTTTATCCTTCTCTCCCTCTCCCTTTCTCTCTCTGAAATTGATAAAAAATATGTGTGTTCGTTTTTGGTTTTTGGTTTTTGTTTTTTAAAAAAGAAGCTACACTGGCTTCCTTACGTATGGAGGTCTAATTCCCACACCTCACTTCTGCCACCTTCTATAGCTCAACGCAAATCACATGGCCATGCCTACCCAGGTGCAGAGGGGTGGAGAGCAGGCTGCCCCTCTGGGTGGGAGGAGCCTCAGCGTCCCACCGCAAAGGGGCATGCTGTGGGAATGGAAGGAATTTGGTGTCACTGCACAGCCCACCCTCGTCCTTTGGTCTAGTTGTTTAAGTTCATGTTCTCAGTTGGTGTTCTGACTCCTGATACTTCTCACTTGGTAGCTTTCCGCCATCAGTTCTTACCTGGTAATGGGTGTTGGAGAGGTCAGCTCTAAGCGGCTCTAAGCAGACAGAGGGAAACCTCGGAAGCCATCCGATGTCTGAGGGATTCATGGAGAGTCCCAGCAACCGCCCACCTGCAATGGAATTCGTACGTGGCCGATAAGTTGAAATTCAAATGCACACAGGCTGCTCAGGCGCCACCAGATGGCATCACAGTCATTGTGAAGTTGGAGGGCTCTGGGCTCACCGAGCTTGGAAGGCTGGTGAAGCAGATATCACCGAGTTTGTAACTCTTCGTGAAATTACTGATTCGGGCAAATTTACCAATGATATTCAGACCCTGAGATGCATGGATGGGGGCAACAGAACGATTGTACATGGTGGATTCTCATCACACACAATACTGTCCGTGTTGCTAGCAAGACTTCTCAAACAGCCATTGTCAATAAAAAGGGGGCCGAAGGACAGACAGATGGATAGACTAGGAGCCCAAGACAGACCATATCCACATCTGGAGGGTTGGTTTACAATAGAGGAGGCAGTGCACAGCAGTGCCGAAAGGATGACTTCTCAATAAATGATGCTGGGACAACTGGATATCACTATTAAAAAAATACAAAATGTGACTCCTACCTCACACCATACACAAGACAATTTGGGGAGGACTACAGACCTGAATATGAAAGGTAAAACAATAACATTGTAGCATATGATACAGGTGCTCGCTTCGGCAGCACATGTATTAAAATTGGGACAATACAGAGAAGATTAGCATGGCCCCTTGCGCAAGGATGACATGCATATTCGTGAAGGGTTCCATTTTTTTTAAAATATATTTTATTGATTTTTCACAGAGAGGAAGGGAGAGGGATAGAGAGTTGGAAACAAAGATGAGAGAGAAACATTGATTAGCTGCCTCCTGCACACCTCCCACTGGAGATGTGCCTGCAACCAAGGTACATGCCCTTAGCTGGAATCGAACCTGGGACCTTTCAGTCCGCAGGCCGACGCTCTATCCACTGAGCCAAACCGGCCAGGAAAATACTTTTATAACCTTGTGGTAAGGATTTTTGAAATAGGTCACATAACAATAAAGGAAGAGAGTGATGCACTGGGTTATACTAAAATTAAGAACTGTTCAAAGACACCATTAAGAAAGTGAAAGGCAAATCACAAAGGAGGTATTTGTAATCCATGCAACTGATAAAAAGGTTAGATCTGGAATTTATAGAGAATTCCTAGAAGTCACTGAGAAAAAGCCAGGCAGACAAGTTGAAAACTGGGTTACACTTGGCTAGATGATTCAAAAAGAGGGAAATCTGCCCTGCCAATGTGGCTCAGTGGTTGAGCATCTACCCATGAGCCACAGTTGGATTCCAGTCAGGGCACATGCCCAGGGCTTTGGGCTCGATCCCCAGTAGGGAGTGTGCAGAGGCAGCCAATCAATGATTCTCTCTCATCATTGCTGTTTCTATCTCTCTCTCCCTCTCCCTTCCTTTTGAAATAAAAAAATATATTTTTTTTTTAAAAAGACAAACATAGCCCTGGCAAGTTTTGCTCAATAGTTACAGTGTCGGCCTGCTCACGAAAGGGTTCAGGTTCAATTCCCAGTCAAGGGCATGTACCTGGGTTGCAGGTTTGAACCCTGCCTCTGGTTGGGGGGGTGTTCAGGAAGCAACCAAACTATATGTCTTTCTCACATTGATGTTTCTCTCTCTCTCTCTCTCTCCCCCTCCTCCTTCACTTTCTCTAAAAATCAATGGAAAAAATATCCTCAGGTGAGGATTTAAAAAACAAAAATATACAAATATACCAACATTAAAGGACAGATTGCTTCTTTAATTATCTTAATACAACTACTTTAACTACTGCACAATTCCTTTCCAGTCGTACATATTTTTAAATTAAATTTATTGGGCTTCTATGTTACAAGGTATGTGTATTGCACCGTGTGCCCCACCACCCAAAATACATATTGTTTTATATCAGCTCATAAACCATTTTGTTTATTTTTCCCCATTTAACATTATAACCCAAACATGGCCAATGCTTTTTCACAGTTACTGTAGCAGAAGCATAACATTCTCCCTTGTGACTGTAATATAATTTTATCAAGCCACTCTCCCGCTACTATACGTTGGCTTACTGGCTCTGCCTTTTCAAAAGAATTACGTGTTATTCTTGATTCCGTCTCCTCTTAGCTGTGAGAATTTATTCTAACAATTATCCCTCCCTTGCATTTGATTCTTTCCTTGTCTTCACACACCGTCTCTTCTGTCTGCAGGGATTTTCAGTCTTATCTATCCCCAAATATATCTCAATCCTGGCATATGCCCTTCTCTGTAAATATACTTGATTATATTTCGAACCGAAAGCTTCCGGCAACACTCCCTAAATTGGAAGCCACTTTTAATTTGTGGTATCCCTGTTTAGAAATCACCTATGATTCGAGAGGGCCGTGCCCGGCCTCCCTCTGCCAAGGGGCAAAGCCTTGACACACTCGCAGCTGATCACTCTTGGTGAGAACCCTTCTTACGTAGTTAGCAAAAAAAAATCTTAGAGAGACAAAGCCGCTCACTTACGACCCCGTTGATATCAAATTTCCCGCTATTGTTCACGGGGGCGCCCTCGCTCCTCTCTCTCGCGCCCTCGATTCCAAGTTGGTCGGAGGTGAATGGGCAGGCGCTGCCCTCCCCCATCTCGCAATCCCACTTTCTTTACTTGGAAGTTATATAT